TACTAATTATCTCTACACAAACTAAAGAACAAAAACAGTATTTTATAAAAGGGAAATAAGCATGAGATAAAGGAAAAAAAAACACTTTGTAGAGTGCTGACTCTTAAAAAGTGTCCTAACACAGAGAATTTTTATATTTTTAGTAAGAATGAATTAAAAGACATAGCTCATTATGTAGTTCAGTGGTCCGTACACCAAGAAACATGGGTTAAATTCCTCCTAAACAGTGCTAAGGAAATGTTTACCCATCTGAAATAATTTGAGAAGCTTCCTTTGATATGTTAATGAGAAGTTGTGTTGGGTTTCATAAGACCGAAGATAGTGTCTAACTGCCTTCTCACAGTTGACTATTATTTTTTAAATACTTAACTTTTAGGATGCCTTTTTAGGATGCTTATAATTTATTTCATAACACTTTGGTATTCTCAGTATAATACTATATATGTGCCAGTTAGTGTAACCTTTAAATCTAGGAGCTGTCCAGGAATGCACACACCAGGGTAGTCAGCCGGCACTATATTCAAAATGGCCATCCTCCAGAGGTGGCAACTCCAAGTCCTTTTGATCTAGGTAGATTTGTCCACACTCAACACTTACTTATCAAAATGACTATAAAAGGTTGGTCTTTATTGATGAACTCGTGTCTGGTTAATCACTATTGTGGGTGTATTAATGGGCTCCCTTTGATTAAAATAAAGGCTTAGGGATATGTGGACTAGCTAATATAATTAAACACTTCTTACTCTTGATGTAACTCTATGAAAGATTTCATTGAAGCCTATATCCAGCATGTCTTAGAGATGGGACCCACAGTTTTATCTCATTATTCTGTCTCCAGACATTCGAGTAGGAGGATTTCTGATTGCATCATGCTCACTAAAGGGCCCAGAAGACTGCTTCAAAAGTCTTGCTATGTCTACCTCAAGTGAATATTGCACACAAAGTGTGGTCAAAGTATCTAAAATGTCAAAGACTTAGGATTTTCACTGAGTTTATAAAACAGGTTTCTTCCTGATATGCTAATAAGTATTTATCTAAAAAAATATATAGCTGTGTGATAGAATCTGGACTTGATGTTCTTTCATTATAATCTGATAGCTTCTTTGTGGGAAAGAAGCTATCTCAGCATTTCAAACTTCTTGGGTGGCTACTATTGTCTAACAAAGAGAGAGAGAGAGAGAGAGAGAGAGAGAGAGAGAGAGAGAGAGAGATTTGCCAAATTTGGCTTCCATCAGTTAAAAAGCATGTTATGAAGTTTTTAATATGATAAATCATTTCAAAGTCTTTTGGAAAGAAGCATCTATATATTTTGTGATTTAGAAAAGCATACTCTCAATATGTTTCCAAAATAATCTTTGTTTTCTGCAAAACAGTAGGACCAAAAATAGTTTATATGGTTCAAAAAAATTGCATAGTTCTTCACAAAGTCTTCACAAACACATTTCAGTGATATATGAACATTTCAACCAGGGTTGAAGTTACACAGATATCCAAGGGCAATGACCCTTTATGAGAGAGTTTGAAATATAATGAAGCAATTTATCATTAAACTTTTAAATGTATTTTGAGAGATTTAAGAAACCACATTTGATTCCTTATTTTGCTATTAGTGATTGACTCAATAGCTTAAAGATTTGAATACCTCATACATTAAACAATAAATTATTTCAGCTTGTTTCTATCCTAATTCAAAAGAAATACTCAGTAATGAGATAATTGAGTCAATTAGATTCCAACAAGCAGTTCAGAGAAAGACCCCAATATGACACTTCAAAACTACTCTGGATATCAGCACCAAATACCAGTTTTCACACAAACTAGCCAGGACAACTCTCAGAGGTAGTACCAAATAACTTGTTCATCAAGAAGTACTCTCATGTGTTTCTATTTTACCAAATGTGGAATACTAAAGCATCAATCAAAAGTTACTAAGGAAGTCAAAAATAGAATTCTGATCAATTATAAAATGTCCACAGCAGCAATGGGGTCCTACACACTGTAGCCAGTGATCAATATTTTGTCTTTTTAAAATACTTTCCTGGAGTCTATACTGATCATTTGTTTATACAGATGATACATTTTGTATTTTCTCTTTCTTTTAAATCATTAATCCCAAATGTAGTCAGACAGGTATAGCTTTCATATACTGCTATTTCACATATAAAATGAAGTAGGATGAATTTAGTGATAAAATATATGATTCTTTTCCCCATAAATTTGATATAGTTAAACATGACTAAAAATAAAATCCCAGCGTTCACATTTTTCCCTTCTAGTCACAATGCTAGTGAATTATCCTAGGCTTGCAGAATCATCTATTCAGAGCCAGTAAAGCAAAATTAACATAGCATAAGAGAAAATCAATAATTTCTCAGTTTCTCATCATTGCTACCCCCTCCCAAAAGCTCTTCCCCATAAGCATCAATAACTGTAGCAGCAAAAATTATCATAGGCTATCTGGAACAGAACTACTATGGTCCCCAAACCATATGGAATCTATTGTGTAGTTAATTACCTGGGGAGACTATTTTTTTTTTCTAAGCCCATACCAGCTATTTCTTTTAATCAGAAAAGTAAAACTGGACTTGTCTTGTCTTTGACATTAAAATATTTGCAAATATCAAAAAGACATCTCCATGAAAACAACAACAACATTGAAAGGCTAGGAAAGGCAAAATGGCCAAGAAGAATGTAATTTCTTGAGACCAGTTTCTGAATACTATTACCAATTAGACCTATATAATATGGTAGTCACTGGCTGCATGTAGTCAGTGAGCACTTGAAATGTAGCTAGTCTAAATCTTGAGATGTATTATAAGTATAAAATACTGAAGACTTATAGAAATACAAAATATTTGTATTTACAGAAATATAAAATTCTGAAGACTAAATAAAAATATTATGAAATATTGCAATAACACTTAAAAATATTAATTATATGTTGAAATGGTCATCTCTTGGGTATACCGAGTTATATATACTATTAAAATTAATTTCATCTGTTTCTTTTAATTTTTAATGTCACTGATAAAATATTATAATTGCATATGTAACTTGCCTTTGTGGTTTACATTATATTTCTATTGGACAGGAATGATTTAGACAATAATCACTTTAATATGTAATAAACCTTGAGAAAAATTCTACCATTTGATCATCTGGCTTAGAATTTGTAAAAACTTTGCCATATACTATGAAACAATCTTAAAAGCATATTTCCTACTGAAGATCAGGTAGTTTTCCATATTGTAATGAGTGTTTGGAGGGTAAACAATGACAAAAAAAGGGGCTTTTGGTGGGAAAAAAAACAAAAAACAAACAACAAAACAAAAACTAACTATGGGCTTGAGCTAACTCTAGTTTGCTTTTTTTATGATTTCCAGACCCAATAAATAATCCTACCTCATGAGGAAAAGCTCTTCTTTTCTGCATGGAGTTCCAAGAACAAATAGTTCAAGAATTGTGAATAGGTGTTAACAAGCAAATGGGCCTTTCTAAGAGATGTGAAGCCCTGCCCAGGTAAACAGCCAAAAAAGTAAGGGTGAGTGAGATAAGTAATTTAGTAATTCCTAAGGGTTTACAGTCTCATCTTCTCTCCCTCTCTACTTCCTTCCCCTCACTTCCCCTCTCCTTCCTAGCTTGAGCCAGTGTTGACTCCCACTTTCTCTGGTGTTGGTTATTTTGTCCACTTCTTCCTCCTCTTCTAATTCCTGCTGGCATCTTGCTCAACCTTTCATCTTTCTCCTTTCTTCCTTTTCCCATTTAAATTTTTTTTAAAAAAATTATGATACATAGTCATAAAAAGGAAAAAAACAAAACAAAACATTCAAATACATGAAAGTTCTTTTTACTTCCACAGGGCCCTTTACAGGGTAGGGTTTTTAATTGTTTTTGTTTGGTCCTTCAGGGTTAGTTAACTCTCACTGGGGCTCTCCCTCTGGCCTAGACCAATATGGTTCAAGAAGAAATCTTCATTTAGAATCACCTAAGCAGATTCCTAGGCCCTAACTACCCAGATCCAAAATCAGATTCTTTGGGCTGTAATCAGCAGTCTTAGGAGCACAGGTTAGCAAAATAGACTATCCATAATTCTTGACATTGATATGTTCTACATATATCTAATTTATCAAAAGAACCTACTGAAAAGTACATTCAATTTTTTGTTTGTTTGTTTGTTTTTAATGACAGCTTCTGGGAAAGAAAGGAAGTTCAACTATTAGCTTTAGTAGTTGACAATAAAAAAGTTGAGAAAACAGGCCCAGATTAATCAGCAAATGTTATCAAGGCAATGTTTACCAGAATTCCTTTGAGACTGCATTAAATTAATTTAAGATTGCTAGTATGGGTTTCTTATATTCAGAGTAGTTTAATAAAGAAAGCTGATAGTCATTTCTGAAAAAGACAACGTCCTTCAACTCAATTCAATTTGTATGAATGGGACCTATACTTCTACATACTGCTCAAAGTGACTATGCAATTCAAGAATCTCAGTACTGGTTGAATATCAAAATGGTTTTTGAAGTAAAACTTTTTGAAAAGCATTAAATCTAGTGTTGCTTTTACCTAGCACTCTCTTCAATTGTTGCCAATAGACAATTTTGGGGTAGATTTTCACGATCTATGTTATACTCTTAAGCAATTTATAGTTGACTTTTAGGAATCAGTGTGTTAGTAAAGTAGACCAAAACCCAGGCAATTCTATTTACAATTAGGATAATGAATCAAAATTTGTGCTTTTGATGTTCCAAAACTTTGAACTCACAGAGCTTTGATAAAATGTTTAATAAACATATCTTTACTATTACAAACAGCCTCTCAATCCCCAGGAAATTAAGCCAAGGGAATGTATTTCTGGTCTAGATTAGGCAATACTTTTATTTAAAAACTAATGAAATAATTTTATTTAAAAGAATAATTGTCAGAAGTTCATTTTATGTGATTATCAATAATAAATTTATGTCAAAACATAAACACACAAATAGAATAACTACCAGTCATACCTTATTATGTGTCTGAGTCTGTCCAACCAGTATGAGGATGTTGGATGAGATGATAGACAGGCAGAAGTTAATTAGAATTATAGATCTTTCAGAGCGTATGTACCTAGCCAGAGAGAGAGAGAGAGAGAGAGTGTCCAACTTTAAAATTCAACAGAAAGATGAAGAATTCCATATTATGCAAATTGGTAAAATTCATCCAGAAAAGGAATCACTAAAATATATCCTTTATAGAAGAAAATATATGATTTTTTTAATAAAGATTATTCTTAGATACTCAATTTTATAGTGACATGGCATGTTCTAGAGTCCTTTAGGATAATTTTATTTTCTTTCAACATTAGTATGAACAACATGGCATTTCTGAAAGAGTCAAGGTTGTACATCTGCTATCAATATAATACTTTTTACTAAAAATATAAAGTTTCTTGGAAATACAATTACTATAATTACCATTATATATATGTTTATTATCATATAAAATCAATAGAAACCAAAAGGAAAAATCCCACACAGATTCTCATGTATCTCTGTATACTAGAAAGCAACCATTACTTCCACGAAACCATGAACACTCATCCACCATTTCAAACACTCAAATATTTTTAAATAATTTATTACTTTTTATATTATTATTTCCCTAACAAACTGCTCCAAAAAAAAGGAAAGAAAAAAAATGAATCTCATTTCCAAAAATTAGTCCAACCCACAAATGATAATTCATTAGGCTGGAAAATTACTTGGTGTCTGCCATATTTTATCCTTATGAAGAAGTGTTTGTATACAGTCTGCTATATAATTTTTAAGTGCATCAAGAATGTAAGCTATTGAGACAACTGCTCAGAATCCAATGTTCTACCAGTTGTTTACCCTGAAAGGGTAACAGTTATTTTGTTTTACTGTACCCTGTGGTAAATCACTGACTGACAGTAACAAAAAGACATACTTGTACTTGCTGTGTATTTGAGACTGTTCAATTTGTATTAGTACATGGAATCACTTTCCACAGCAGGCGTGTGTTTACTGTGCAGTGTTAGGTGGGGTGCCAGAGATCTGGAGGCATTCTTTGGAAAATAAAATCTATCAAAGTTCTTTCTCTATATCTGCCTTTGAAGAATATTTAGAGAGAAGTCCCACATTCCATCACATATTTGAGAAGACAAAGCAAAACAAAAATAGGAGTAAGAATAAAATACAAAAAGCTATTTCTTATTATAAAAAAATTTCCTTTCTTCACAAAACAGATCCAAATAGGAATAACCTAGGTCAATTCTCAATACAAAATGCCCTCAAGAGTTGCTTAACCTTGTCCCTGCACCATCAGTATCTAAAAATATAATAAACCACACACTGGGAAGCTAAAGACATCATCAAATATTAAGTTGTTTCTTCTTTTGTGAGTGGGAGATGTAACAAAAAGTTGAAGGGCTGCACAAAATTGACCCTTTATATGATATTAGTGGTTTCATGACAGCACAAGCACACATATAACATTATTAAAAGGGTTTCAGTGACATCATTTGCTCTGTAAATAGGAAAATCTTGGTGATAAAAGACCCAGACTAACCACCCTGAAGAATCTTTAGATATTTCTATTGTTCATTTATATTGAGTGAGATTATTGCCTTAAAATTTTCTATTAAATGTCTCAACTTCCAAAACTTTTTATAAACATATTTGAAGTTTTAAACAAAATTTGTAAATGCATCATTTCAGTACATAGATTAAAAAGATATGTTCAGTTGCTCTTTTATGTAATAATATAATGCTACAGACATATTTGTAGATGAAGAGGACATAACTTAGTGTATTAACTTTTTGATGAACATTTCTAATGAACTATAAGAGACATTAACAATTTTCAAAATACTACATTATATATAAAATAATTCTGATGTTCATACATTTTATAAATCAGAAAATTTTAAAATTTAAACTTTTTTTTTCATTTTTTAAAATTCAGTCAGCCAACATATATTACAATTCTCATATGGTTTCACTCATTTGTGGAAAATTTAAACTTTTTAATTAGAAAAAAGTCAGTAGGATCCTGAGTATTACCATAGAGTAATACCATACACTAATGTTACAAGATAAATTTTATGTTTATAAGATTTATTAAATTCATCATGCTACAAGATTCACTTAATAATTTAGGAATCTTCCTCTATAAAATTATTAATATTACTTCAATTCTTCTATTTATAGGGAATGAGTTAATTAGACACTAAATACTAGGAATCAGAATTTATGCTGTTTCTTGGTACTCTCTTCTACACCTCTCAGTTTTACATACTAACAGAGCCTTTCAGATGTTTGGATAATTCTTAGAAGATTAGTAAGTGATTTCCCTGGATTTTCTGGATTAAAGAAAAGTTTATTATGAACTAATTAATTTTGTGCTTCCTTATATATCATTTATACTGGCAGTGTTTGTGCTACTGTTAGCTATAGGTATTTAGGGATGAAAAAAAGGTAAAATTGGTACCTGAATCCTAAGTATTAAGAAATGGAACTTAGCTGTAATTACTTCAGTGAGTATGAATTATGACTATTGCAATTACTTAATATCCTGGCCATTAAACACTGCCTTATTTCCCAAAAAGTGCAGTTTAGCCAGTTGTGGGAGACAAAGTTGTCTTCTTCCTAGCCTTTGTCCATTTTACTCTTCCAATACCAGGGCAATGTCTACTTGACTGACCCCTTAAGCCTGGATTCCATTATTTATAATGCCATGCATAGACCAAACATTTCTTTCATTTCATGTGATTGGTCATATTTTTTCAGATTTTCAAAGAACCTTTATTATGTTCCTGTGTCAGTGGAACAAGAATGTGTACATATTTTTGTTTGAAGCATGAAAATTTTAATATCCTTGACAATTTAATATCTGGGTAATTAATTCTTATCCTCAAAGAGTGAACAATATAATAGACAGCATTTTTTTGGAAAGGATGTTAAATCAAATGACCTTTCCTTATTAAATTATAATTACTTCTTCAACTGAGTTGTTTTTTAACTTAAGTAACAGTAAAACACAAGGACTAGCTAGCTACTTTTACAATTTTATATTGCAAATATTCAGGAAATAATATATAATTGTCTATTTACTAATATAACCATTTTGAAACATTTTAAATAATCAAGATGGCTATAAAAATGTTTCACACTTAATAGTATTTATTATTTTAAAATATTTTATTTATTTATTCATGAGAGACACAGAGAGAGAGAGAAAGAGGCACAGACACAGGCAGAGGGCTCCATGCAGGGAGCCCAACATGGGACTCCTAGGACTTGATCCCGGGTCTTCAGGATCACGCCCTGGGCCAAAGGCAGTGCTAAACCGCTGAGCCACCCAGGCTGCCCACACACTTAATATTTTTAAATCCAACAGGAAGTTTGGCCATTTGGTTATGTACTGTTTATCAATATGTGAGTAGATATAATAAAATGTCTAAAATATACAGGTCTAACTTTTATTCATAGAAGGAATCTTAGAGAAATACTAAATTTTCATATACCACTCAAGCAGATGCAATTTCAAACATTGTAGAACAAAGTTTTCAATCATATCCCCTTGCTTATGTATTTTTTACTTCTTTAACCAATTTGTCCAAATCTGGCATTTTTGGAAATATTCAACCAAGAGGTCTTTCCAATAGCATTGTGGTATTATGTTAATGCATTAATAATATGAAGATTTACTCATTGTCTGGAATATACTGAAAGCGTGTGTTTAAATTCTTAAATTTAAAGCTTAAAACTTAAGAGTTTGGAGACCATATGTCTATAACAGAGAAATTACTTTGTACCAATTAAACTCTCAAACTCAATAGAAATTGGGATAAATAAAACAGACTGAACTTGGGGAGATAAGAATACCATGTTTGAGAGTAAGCAACTTGTTGAAAGCTACCATCATTTGAATTGGGAAGAAAAGTGTGTGTGTTTTGTTTATTTTCTCATCATACAAGAAAATTAGGTAATTTTATTATTATTACTATTATATTATTGAGTTCATTTATTCTAGTTCAATCACAGCAATTATAACTTTGTTCTAAGAATACTTCTTTTAGTAAATTAAAAAGAAAGGAGATACAATGATTATCATATTGCCAGATTTAATCTGAATAAGAGTATCCCATTTGAAGTGCATTATTTGATTACATACCTCCATAATGCTGCATAGACAACTGCGAGGGTGATCAAGGCCAAGCAAGAAAGGCCACTGCCTACTATTAGGGTAACTGAAGGTGTACCAGAGGATTCCATGATCTGTAAATTAAACAAAAGAAACACAAAAAGGAGAGATGATTTTTTATAAATGAAAATAACTTCTAAACTCAGCAAAACTAACCTAATACTCAAAACAGCCAATATAGTTGTTATAGTTACCAGATTATTACCCAGTAACCACTTTGTTCATATATTCTCAACCTCTAAAATGACTAATTCTGGCTCCCCCCCTCTCTCCCACTGTGAAGTAATAAAGGCCTTAGAGTTTTAAATGCTTGATTATGGCATATTACCCACTATGGCTTTCTACAATAAATAACTGAACCTAAAACTTGGTGAATATTCACATCTTAAATTTTCTTTATCTGAAATTTGAAGCAGCATTCATTTTTTTTCAACAAATATAGTCCAGTTATGTCACAGTATGCTTTTTGGTAAAATTTACTTCGATCTTCCCATTTATAACTCATTGTTACCCCAACCTGGTACCTAGATACTGAAAAATTTTCAAACTTTTTGACTTTTGACAACTTTTTCTAAGTCAAGCATTCTCTTATTTAATTTTACTTGCTTGGCCTGTAAGGCTATAGAAGAAAATAAAATTTCAAATGCAAGAACTTACAACATATTTTGTGGGGTTTTTTTTCTATTAACAAAATATGAAGAGATAATTTTCACAATACCAGTATCAGTCCCTAAATACATGACCTTGACAAATAAGCCTTATATATTTTAAGACAAATATAAAGATTGTAAGCAGTCACTGATTTGAGAGGTTTCTTTCTTTAGACACTAACATGATACTAACTAATGAGATCTGTTGTTTTTCTTATTTTTAATATTGGAAGTTTGAAGAAATACACTTTAACATCAAGTGTATTCCAATCCTTAGGTAAGCACATTAAATTATATTATGTATTTTTGTCAACAAAATAAGTAAGAAGAGTGAGGCATATTTAGGCCAAATTTAGACAGAAAGTCACATTCATCTTAATAATTATTCTTCAGCATTTCATTTTTTTTGGAAATAATTTTTCAAAATAGAGTTGATGAGGATATTATTTTTCTTTTAGACAGTTTATGCAGCTGTTTATATCAGAAACTAGTTTTTTTTTTTTTACAAGCTTAGACACTTTTAAGGAATGATTTTACAGTTTCAGGCAGTCCGTGCTTTCATGAAAACTTCATTTGTTTGTTTTTTTTTTAATAAATATCCAAGGACACCCCCAGAAAACCTGTACTGAAAATATCCAATGCAGATATGCAATATGTTTGGCTTATAGTGTCTGGGGTCTTCATTCTACTACCAACAGTATTCTCACAAATTCCCCGGACCACATTTCAGTTCTAAAATAAAGGTTAAGTTTGCAATTATTTTTATTTGAAAGTTTGTAGCATATTAGTAATATGATGGAGTACATCCTCAAAACTATACTGCAGAAATTTCAAGTTAGAAGACATAAAATTGAGTAGAATTTAGTTATAGCACACCAACTAGAATTCATTTTACCAAGCTACTGTAGCTAAGGAGGAGACGAACCCAATTTTGCCACCCTGCAACATTTTCCATTTCCCCTTTTAAAATGCAGTTCCCTGGAGAAACACTCTCCACAATGTCCCTGCCTTTGCATTAAAGCCTTGTTTTCCCTTTGTTACTTACTATTTCTCTAGGTTGCTGAGCCAAAATGGCGAAGGTAGAGAGACGATCACATAAGCATTTCGTATGGGATGCATCGGTAAGCACAGTTTTACATCCCTGGGTGGACCACGTTCCCAAAGACTCGTTCCTGCAAAGGGGGGGAGGTGGGGGGAGATCGGGATAAATACGCCTGACGGCCAAATCCGTAAAGAAGAAAATGCAGTTTAATTGAGAGAATCGTCTACTGTAATTCCCGTTCAGGAAAAAAAAAATCTACTTGTTGTTGAACAGAACGTAATTTAGATGCATCTCCAGTAATGCAAAGCGAGAGTGTTTGGAAAAAGCAAGCAGGCGGGTGCAGCGTGCAAAGAGCTGTCCAGCGCCGGAGGTGCTGAAACCAGGACTAGCTCTGTCCAGCCCTCTGCGAGGAACAGCAGCGGCGGTGGCAGCACGAGCAGCCGCCAGAGCGTTGGCAGCCACTTCCTATGCTCATCGGATCGTTTCAAACACTCAGAGTGTAAAGAGGCTTTTCAGATTTTCATACCAGCTCTGATTCTCGTCCTGTATTTTTGGATCGTGAATGCTGGCTTTTAAAATGCGGATTTCTCTGAAAAGCCTGCCTAAAAGGTTATATAGCTTGGGTTGGGTGATAGGATCTTTTCCGCTGCTGGTTAGGGATTTTTCCTCCCTTTAGAATTAGCTGCTGTGAAAATTTCACCCTGGAAACGGGAAGCAGCAGCAGCGGCATCAGCTGGTTACGACTCTCATTGCTTTTGCCTGGTATCCAGGGGAGGGGTAGGTTTCAGACATAAGCTTCCCACTCCACACTTCATTCAGCCCAACACGCCTCTGAAGCCCTTGACATTTCTTCCCCTGACCTGCCTCTCTGCCCTGGAGTAGAAACATTTAAGCTAACATCAAGTCTCCTAGAACATTTGGAAGAATAATCCTACCCCAAAGTCCAGTACGAAGGGGGAAAGAAGGGCCTGCTTCAATTTTCTCTTTGGTATTGCCATTCAAAATTCTAAAGCATATGGTTTATTTCCCACCCCAGCAGAACAATAAAAATGGTATCAACCTACGCTTTCTTAGTAGGGGGGCAAGAGAGGGGAGAACCCTTCCACCCTCAGCTGAACTACTCTGCAGGAAGAGGAAGAAAAAAAAAAAGCTAGAGAGTTTGACCAATCAACTTTATTATCATTACACGTGTTATATACTGAATGCACCACTTTTCTCCTCCCCTCCCCCAAGTATGGAAACTCTCCAACTAGCAAAACCTATGTATGTGTGTGTTTTAATTCTGAACCACATTATTATCTGTGTTAAAAATTACTCTAAAATTCGAGCAAACACCACATAATTTTGAATGTGGTGCTTTCGATTTCACCTACTCCATCCTTGAATGCCTAAAGCTATTGGGTTAAATATGCATGCAGTCTATTTCTGAGAGATTTAAATGAGAGGCTTCTCTGTGACAGTTGGACTTCCAAGCTGAGCTACAGAATATAATTCACACTATCCTTTTTGATATCTGGAAGCAATATTCTTAATATATATGACTTTTTATTATTAGTATTCATCACTCAGTACTCTTAATTACAAATTATTTTAAGAAGGAATACACTGTATTTGAGAAGGACAACATACAAATTTAACTAAGTTCACCCAAATACTTTTAAGTATTACCAATTCAAAATTAGGAGGTCTCTTTTCTTTCTCATAATGTCATGCCAAGTCAAATTTAAAAATATATATCAGTTATACCTTTAACCAACTGCAACAGTATTAAGTTCCAATTCTACCTAACCATAGCAGCATTCAATTTATTTCATTAGCTGTCTGTCTCTTATCTTCTTGAGACAAACAGTTAAGGCCAAATGAAAAACATTTAACTTAGTTGATAAAAGTTTAAAGAAAGATATAGTTAAGAGAACCTAACATGTTTTAAAGCATAACGTCTGCATTATTCATCCTGGATGGCAGCTCTCCTTTGATGCAGTATGTTTCCAAGGGGGAGTCTAGTGCTTAAACTTTCCACATCATGTAGCTATAATCAATAAAACAATCTAAGTCTTAATAAGGAAAAAAATACTTTACTGTAAGACTTCCTATGAGACAAATTTATATATTTGTATCCAGGTAGTTAAGAAAATGTTAGCATCACTAAACTTTGGCTGTCAGATATTAAGTCTATGTTCAATATAATGATGCTGGACTCTGAAGATCATGTAGATTTGACATGACATCGTTAGAAAAGTAGGTCAATTTATTTTGTTTGTTCAAGATTGCATTTCTGACCCGACCCAGCTCAGGCAAAATTGGAAAATGACACCAGTCTACATCAGCCCAAGTATGAAATACTACAAATCTTACTGGGCCCCTTTTCATGTGCACCTTCCTGAGGCTACACAGCCTGTGTCCCTACCTTTCTTTGGAATTATCATCTCTTTGTTGATTTTATCTGATTAAACTAATAAATAATATGAGTGATTGAGTATAGTGTGATGTACACTTCTCAGTTTAAAACAAGGACTAAAACAAAAAATAATGCATCTGATAGGAGAACATCAGAATTTGGAGCATTTGAGTAGTAGAGTAAAATCTTGAATGGTAAGAGGATAGCTACCAACTTCTACATTTGGTCACTCCCAAGAGCTGAACAATAAACATGATACCATTCTCATGTTATATTTTATATTGTTTCATAAAACCCCTTAATATTTTAAAACCATATAAACTCTAATAAGTTAGTTTCTAAATCACAAGCATACATGTCATTATTACAAGACCTATAGTATGTGTCATCTGTATTTTCAAATACTTCATAACTTATTCCTACTGTACAAAATTCTTTGAAAGCATGGTACACGTGTCTGATTGATTTCAGGGAGATCTTGTAAAGCAAACTCATATTTGGTAGAGCTAATGTGAAGCAAAAAGCTTTCCCAGTCCCCAAAGAACAAAGTTTTCAAACATGTGGATTATTCCAGCAGTCATATTATTCTTCCAATGTCATAGTTTTTTTCATGCTATGATTAATGGTATATCTATGAATTACTTTTAATTATTAAGTCTAGGTTGTCATAAATAAGGCAAACATGTACAATGAAATATCTATGAATACTAAAGATATAATAGACTGACAATGTCAGAAAAGAACACAAAATAATGATACAGATATACATGTTATACTGAAAATCACATATTTCTTTTTCACGATGTCTTTCCTGGGCATTAAAATTTATTTCAAATAGTTTTCAAAAATAACTAGGCCTGCAGAAATTCCATACAGCCAGCACATTCTTTGTGGGTTACACCTACATTCACCCATGTTAGCTGTTAGCTGTCATCTGTACCTCTTCTCCTTCTTCCTATTATTAGGCTGGCTAAAAGAAGAAGAATCTGCCTGTCCCAAGTATTCAAAAGTACATACCCACAAGCACAGAATTTTGTGAAAATATAAGACACAAAATCTATTACATTATAGTTTAATACTTATTTGAAGCCTTTCCCCAATTTCCTAACAGTCTACCTAGTTTCTTTTGGATCTGAGTATATCATTGATTTCCTGGGAGCTTTAAATAATATAGAATATGACTTTATTCTCTAGTATTTAAGACTACAGAAAAAATTATCTGTTCTCTTTGACAAAAAGTTGTTTGGTAAAGCCTGATAGCAAAAACTTTCAGTAACGCATCTCCAAACTGTTCCAAGAAATCAAACTTTATCTTTTGAAATATCAATATAACTCGACTTTTCACTTGAATCATTCTTTTATAAAACTGTCTATTCTGCTTTATAATAAATCAATGTGCAAAGTATTTAATAAGAATAAGTTATACACTTTAGGGGGGTTTATTATCTCTTAAGATATTAATGGTTCATTTATTTAAAATCAAAATAACTACAATGGCAATTCAAAAATTCACACACAATTTCTGAGTACACTATTCTTACGATGTATATATCCTGAAAGAAGTAATTGTTTCCCATAATAATAGTTATTAATTTCTAAAAATTAGGTGAATCTATATTATTTTTAATGTCTAGATTACACCCATGTAAATGATGTGTATATGGCTCTTGGTGTAAATTATTCCCACAGTAAATTTTGGAGTACAAATGAGCAAATGTTCTCAATTTTGAGTTGAAATAGTATTTGAGCGTAATTTCTACTCTTTAGACATTGCAAATATTGAAAATATTATTATCTCTAGCAACTGTTACTATGTCAAGAGAGTGAATAAAAAATTAGAAAGTTTTGCTAGATATAACCTTAGTGAGTACCTAGCCCATCGGTTTTCTATGCTTGATTACATTAAGATTATCTAGACACCTTTAAAAATTAAGCCCCAGGGTGGCTTAACACTCCCCAGATGATTCTAGTGTGCAGCCAGTGTTAAGAACCACTGATCCATCCCAACTACTTAGTTTTATAGACAAGAAAAGTGAAGTATGGAGAATTTAGGAAACTTGTTTTAAGTCAGAGTGAGAAGCAAAGTTGAGTTCCTCACTTCCATACTAAAAGTTTGTAAGACTAAATTTTAATTGCAATCTCTTTTAAAACAGAATGTAACATGTCCTATGAAGTTATAAGTTATATATAAATACACTTGCAAAATAATTTACACTTGTAACCATTTTGGCTCTAGTGTCAGAGTTTTAACAAACTGAGTTATCAATGGATAAAGTTAGCAAAAGGCAGGTAGTTGTCATACTCTATGGCATATATCTTATATTTAAGTAATATATTCTATGATACATTAAAGAAAAACATTGATTTTTATACCAATTTTTCATGACATAAAACATATCCTATATCTGTAGTGAGATCATTTACTGTTTGGGGTGATACAAAACCTTAAATTCCAAATTCTGAACACATAATAAGGTGTAAAAGTTGTGAATTATTTTTTCATTTTAAAAATGATATTCTCTTTATTGTGATTCAGTGGAAGATTGTTATTTAAAATTATGTTTATATCAATCATAATGATGACTGTATATAGTCACAATTATACTATTGTGTATGTATACATGTAACAATAAATAAAGAGTAACACCACATAAAGTATATATATTTCATTCAAAGGGATGAAATTAAGGAGCAGTTATTTTGCTACCACCAGAAAGAGCAGTTATCATACA